ATCCTTGGGATATAATCTCTCTTGAACAAACAAGTACAGTATGAACACCCACTTTGGGCTTGATTGGTTGTTACATATCAGCTTCTTCCATCTTATTTTTGGGAGTTCTCCTCTTAGCATATTATACATTCTTCTTATAAAGAATTTTCCATTCACCGCAGCTTCTTCTATCTTCACTGCTGCCATTTCCAGATATTTTCTCGCAGTGATGATCTTTCGAATAGTCCACGAGGCATTCTTTGCATCCATATCAATTATGTCTCTGCTTTTTATATAATAAGTGTGTACTCACTTAATCCACAACTTATCCTTTTTTGAGATAAATACCAGTAGTGTTTCAGAATTGCAGTTATGTTTCATATTTGTATATTAATGATATTCATTCCCCCTGCTGTCTTAGGTAGACACAGTTGGTTTCAAGATACCAATGTGCCTTCTTTTTTACTTTTGTATTACTCCTCCAGAGAAAGGTCCTACATACAGCTTCAATTTTGTTTATGACCTTCTTAGGCAACAGGAATATTTGAGACCAATAAGACTGTATGGCTATGAGCACACTTTTAATTAATTGAAACCTCCCTGCATATTAGTCCACGAGGCATTCTTTGCATCTATATCAATTATGTCCCTGATTTTTATATAAAAAATGTGTACCCACTTAATCCATAACTTGTCCTTTTTTAGACAAATTCCAGTAGCGTTTCAGAATTGCAGTTCTGTTCCATATTTGTATATCACTGATATTCATTCTCCCAGATGTCTTATGTAGACACAGTTGGTTCCAAGATACCAATGCCTTCTTTTTTACTTCTGTATTACCCGTCCAGAGAAAGGTCCTACATATTGCTTCAATCTTGTTTATGACATTCTTAGCCAACTGGAATATTTGAGACCAATAAGACTGTATGGCTATGAGCACACTTTTAATTAATTGCAACCTCCTTGCATATTAGTCCACGAGGCATTCTTTGCATCCATATTAATTATGTCCCTGCTTTTTATATAAAAAGTGTGTACCCACTAAATCCACAACTTGTCCTTTTTTTAGACAAATTCCAGTAGCGTTTCAGAATTGCAGTTCTATTCCATATTTGTATATCAGTGATATTCATTCCCCAAAATGTCTTAGGTAGACACAATTGGTTCCAAGACACCAATGCCTTCTTTTTTACTTCTGTATTACCCGTCCAGAGAAAGGTCCTACATATAGCTTCAATCTTGTTTATGACCTTCTTAGGCAACAGGAATATTTGAGACCAATAAGACTGTATGGCTATGAGCACACTTTTAATTAATTGCAACCTCCCTGCATATTAGTCCACGAGGGATTCTTTGCATCCATATCAATTATGTCCCTGATTTTTATGTAAAAAGTATGTACCCACTTAATCCACAACTTGTCATTTTTTTAGACAAATTCCAGTAGCATTTCAGAATTGCAGTTTTGTTCCATATTTGTATATTAGTGATATTCATTCCCCCAGATGTCTTAGGTAGACATAGTTGGTTCCAAGACACCAATGCCTTCTTTTTTACTTATGTATTAGCCGTCCAGAGAAAGGTCCTACATATAGCTTCAATCTTGTTTATGACCTTCTTAGGCAACTGGAATATTTGAGACAAATAAGATTGTATGGCTATGAGCATACTTTTAATTAATTGCAACCTCCCTGCATATTAGTCCACGAGGCATTCTTTTCATCCATATCAATTATGTCCCTGCTTTTTATATAAAAAGTGTGTACCCACTTAATCCACAACTTATCCTTTTTTTAGACAAATTCCATTAGCGTTTCAGAATTGCAGTTATGTTCCATATTTATATATCAGTGGTATTTATTCCCCAAAATGTCTTAGGTAGACACAGTTGGTTCCAAGACACCAATGCCTTCTTTTTTACTTATGTATTACCCGTCCAGAGAAAGGTCCTACATATAGATTCAATCTTGTTTATGGCCTTCTTAGGCAACAGGAATATTTGAGGCCAATAAGACTCTATGGCTATGAGCACACTTTTAATTAATTGCAACTTCCCTGCATATTAGTCCACGAGGGATTCTTTGCATCCATATCAATTATGTCCCTGATTTTTATATAAAAAGTGTGTACCCACTTAATTCACAACTTGTCCTTTTTTTAGACAAATTCCAGTAGTGTTTTAGAATTGCAGTTCTTTTCCATATTTGTATATCAATGATATTCATTCCCCTAGATGTCTTAGGTAGACACAGTTGGTTCCAAGACACCAATGCCTTCTTTTTTACTTCTGTATTACCCGTCCAGAGAAAGGTCCTATATATAGCTTCAATCTTGTTTATGACCTTAGGCGACAGGAATATTTGAGACCAATAAGACTGTATGGCTATGAGCACACTTTTAATTAATTGCAATCTCCCTGCATATTAGTCCACGAGGCATTCTTTGCATCCATATCAATTATGTCCCTGCGTTTTATAAAAAAAAAGTGTGTACCCACTTAATCCACAACTTGTCCTTTTTTTAGGCAAATTCCAGTAGCGTTTCAGAATTGTAGTTTTGTTCCATATTTGTATATCACTGATATTCATTCTCCCAGATGTCTTATGTAGACACAGTTGGTTCCAAGATACCAATGCCTTCTTTTTTACTTTTGTATTACCCGTCCAGAGAAAGGTCCTACATATAGTTTCAATCTTGTTTATGACCTTCTTAGGCAACTGGAATATTTGAGACCAATAAGACTGTATGGCTATGAGCACACTTTTAATTAATTGCAACCTCCTTGCATATTAGTCCACGAGGCATTCTTTGCATCCATATTAATTATGTCCCTGCTTTTTATATAAAAAGTGTGTACCCACTAAATCCACAACTTGTCCTTTTTTTAGACAAATTCCAGTAGCGTTTCAGAATTGCAGTTCTATTCCATATTTGTATATCAGTGATATTCATTCCCCAAAATGTCTTAGGTAGACACAATTGGTTCCAAGACACCAATGCCTTCTTTTTTACTTCTGTATTACCCGTCCAGAGAAAGGTCCTACATATAGCTTCAATCTTGTTTATGACCTTCTTAGGCAACAGGAATATTTGAGACCAATAAGACTGTATGGCTATGAGCACACTTTTAATTAATTGCAACCTCCCTGCATATTAGTCCACGAGGGATTCTTTGCATCCATATCAATTATGTCCCTGATTTTTATGTAAAAAGTATGTACCCACTTAATCCACAACTTGTCATTTTTTTAGACAAATTCCAGTAGCATTTCAGAATTGCAGTTTTGTTCCATATTTGTATATTAGTGATATTCATTCCCCCAGATGTCTTAGGTAGACATAGTTGGTTCCAAGACACCAATGCCTTCTTTTTTACTTATGTATTAGCCGTCCAGAGAAAGGTCCTACATATAGCTTCAATCTTGTTTATGACCTTCTTAGGCAACTGGAATATTTGAGACAAATAAGATTGTATGGCTATGAGCATACTTTTAATTAATTGCAACCTCCCTACATATGATAAAATCTAACAGTCTAATTGGTTATTCTTCTGAGCATTCTATCAATCAAGGGTTGGCATTGTGTAGCCAATCTTTTGGAACTTAGTGGCACTCCAAGGTATTTAAAAGGTAATGTACCAATAGAAAATCCAAGTTGTTGCACTATCTCATGTTGCACATGGTCAAGCACTCCTCTAAAGTATATACTATTCTTAGTTATGTTAGCAATCAATCTTGACGCTTTGTAGAACTGTTGAAAGTAGTCGAATAGTAGTGTAGCTGATACCACATCTCCTTGCAAAACATAAGGAGGTAATCTGTAAATCCAAGTTGTATTATGCCCAACTTCTTGCATCTAGGGTGATAATTGAAATTTGGATTCCCCTTTAGTTTTTTGAGTAGTTTAATGAGATACTCCATGGCAAGTACAAACAAATAAGGGGATAACGGATCACCCTGCATGAGTCCTTTTTTTGCCTCAAATGGTGGTGTTGGATTTCCATTTATAACAATTGAGTAGGAAGCAGTTCTGATGCATCTTCTGATCCATGTGATGAACTTTTTGGGATGTTCATACTTGACAGTATTTGTTCTAAAAAAATCTATTCCAGTGAACCATAAGCCTTTTGCATGTCCATTTTGATCATTATCCTTGGTGACACCCCTTTTATACCATATCCTTTGATGATTTCATGGCTTAACACTACATTATCATGAATGACCCTTTCAGGAACAAATGCATTTTGACTGCAATCTACTAGGTAGTCCATGACGTATTGCAATCTGTTGGTGATCATTTTGGAGATGATTTTGTACAATGTTGTGCAGTAGGATATAGGTCAATACTCCTTGATGGTGGCAGGGTGTTTCACCTTTGGTATCAAAGTAACTGAAGTGCAATTTATAGGTCTATACATATCAACTGTCTCGAAAAATTGAAGCACTTCATTCGTTACCTCATCTCTAGTATGTGCCAAGTTTACAAAAAGAATAACAAGTTAAATCCATTACACTCTGGGGCTTTCAATGTGTCTATCCCTTCTAATGCTTGAAACACTTCCTCCTTTGTGAATGACCTGATTAATTGAATCTGCTGAGCTCTATTCAAATTTGGCCCTTTCCTCATGATGTTAGGATTGATGGAAGGTAAATTATTTTGATTTGAGCCTAGTAGGCTTTTGTAAAATCCAATTATTTCTTCTTGTATCTCTTCTGGCCTTTGGAATAACCTCTTTGTTGCGGATGTAAGTTGCTTGATATAATTCTGTACTCTTCTCCCTCTCATGTTAGCATAGAAGTAAGCTGAATTAGTATTTTTTACAAAATACTAAATCACTATAGCAGCATCTACTAGTTGTCTTGAGCATTCCTGCATGTTCTTCTGTTATGTCCTTATTTTTCACACAGTCCACATGTAACACTTTTAGTATACAGATATTCATAAAGTCCCTTGCGTTGCGACTTCGTCGGTCTTCCTGGTTTGCTCTTCACTATTGGTGGTAGGACCACATTATCTAACACCTATGTTGGAAGGTCCCATGTAGTTTCATTAGGAAGTGGATTAACTGGCACTTCATATGTCTTCTTGAAGTATTCCTTAGTATAATAGGCAGAACAATATTTGGGTGCTTCCATGTGTGTGTAGTCCAATACTGCCATAGCATGTGGACAAGGAATCTCATCCACTTGAAATCGTTTGCACGAGCATTCTCTTTTTTGCATGCAGACTATGTTCCGCCTTTGTTCAGCATCCATTACTACATATACATAATCGGTCGAAGGCTTCACCTAAATTTAAATGTATATTATTAGTAAAATTAAAACAGGGATATGACAAGTATTAATGCATTTTTGTCAAAGTATATTACTCCGGCATATGAAGTAAGACATGATAAAAGAATATTTACCGTCATCTTCTGCGACAAATAGCTATTTTCCTTCAGTACTTCATGATATTTTTGTCCTATGCCAATAAATGTACTCATTGCAGTCATTCTATTTGTATTATTCCATTCCATAACCAAATTCATCATGTAATCTAGCAAACTCATGATTGGTAGCTCTCTTGCCTCTCTTTTCCTTGCATTGAGTGACTCGGCAATATTTGAAGTCATCACCATGGATCTATTAACAGTGGAATGCACTATAGACCACTTTTCATAACCAACTTGGAATAGGTAACCCCTTACTCTCTTATCAATGTTGTCTATATCTTCCATGAGGCGATTAAAATCTTCAATTTTGTATGCTCTGGCCATTGCAAAAAATACTTCCCTCAGCCGGTCATGGTTCTTCTTGAACTGCTTCTTTATGTTATTCCAAAGATGAAAGATGCATATACAGTGAGATACCTCTGGATACACAATCGAAGCACCCCTTAATATGATTGCATGACGATCCGATACGATGCACATCCTTTCCCTTTCCCCAAAATCCTGTCTAAACATTTCAAAAAACCATTCCCGAGAAGCATCATTTTCAAAATCTACAACAGCGTATGCTAGTGGAAAAATTTTACCTGCTTAAGCAAATAAGAAAGTATCCACATGTTATTTTTGTTATACACAAATAAGAACTATATATACCATATATAATTATTATACGAGTCTGCAACATATTCACCTGCTGCATCTTGTGCGCTAGCTGTTAACATTGTTCCTCTGTATAATGATTTGAGGAATGTCCCATCAACCACTACGATAGGGTAACAGTATTTTCATCCTATGATTGATGCATTTAGTGTGATAAAAACATACATGAAGTGCCCGTCCTCTGATTTATGTAACCTTGTGACAGAACCAGGATTTGTCATATTTATCATATACAAGTGACCCGGCAGTTTTCTATAAGATTCACGTGGTATCCCTCTTAGTAGTTAAAGCGCCTTTTCTTTTGTTCTATAAGCTTTTATGTAACTCATATTAATCTCATACTGTTGTTTCATGTCGCTCATGATGCCTGTCGGAGTGTATATTGTTTTTGGATTGGTATATTTGTTGCAAATCATTTTTGCAATGGCTGACGAAGTAGCATGACGTTGTGAAAACAGTCTACTCATCTCTGGGCAAGTGTGAACATCATTGAACCGTCTAACATTGAAGACATTTGATTTGTGTAGACTTGAAGATCTAAGACTCCATTTGCAACTTTCATCCACGCATGTAAGACATTACCTATTTAAAATATAGTGTTATGATAATGCATTTCTTCAGATTTTTACACTTGTGTCTAAAATAAACAAGCAGTATACATATGCAATCTCACTATACAATAATTATACATTTTTTATACAGATCT